TGAAGTCAGCACAATTCCGAGTTTTTCTGTGGCTGTTGTCACCTGCTCTTTTTCACAGGAATTATTTACGAGTGTACGATCTAACACCTTTTTGTTTGGTTCCAGAATTTCCCTTTCCTGTGAATCATATTCCTGGCGCAGGCATATAGGAAATATATTTCATTTTTCGGAACTTTCTGGAACCTGTTTTCCAAAGTCTAAACTCAGGTTGACTGAACTCATGGCCCCTTTCCTCAGTTTGATCTGTTGGGCCGTCGGAAAAGTCATGATACATTTTTCTGTGTTTCTATGCAAAAATGCATCATGGCTTTTTCGATAACCCGATAGAATGACACTGTCTTTTTCTCCCCTCACCCCTCCCTCTGGGTTCCTGGAAAATTACACAATAGCCATCAAGTGTTGTGTTGTTTTGTTGTGCTCAGTCAGAATTAAGACGAGAATAGAAATTCCCTGTTGTTTTCTTTGCCTTCTTGGTGACGAGAGTGTCACAGAGGCTGGTGAGGACACGTTTACTTTCAGCAGAGCAAGACTGCAGTAACAGCTGGCCTTGGGAGTGGTGCCCGTCACTACCTGATTCTCCTGTCCATTACCTAATATTGGTAACGCATTTGCCCACGTCGCCCTTGCTAGTAAAACAGCACTCGCTTTCACTGCATTTCAGTGTGCGTACCAGGCCCCTGGCGACACGCTCTAAGTATGTTCTGACTTTTAAGCTCTAACACATGCCCAGGAGCTAAGTGCTATTAGTGTTCGTTTTGACAGGTACGGAAACTGAGGCACAGAGATGATGTAACGTGCCTAAAACCACAGGGCTTGCAAGCAGGAAAGCCAGGATGCAAGGCTATCTTCGAACCACAGTTCCTCCTGCGTCTCCCACTGGTGTTCTCCCACCAGCACCCTGACCGGGCAGCTTTCTGACCCCATGACAGTTGCTGAATGTCTGTCTCAAATCCCTTATTTGTAAAAATGGGAAGAAAGAGCAACGTCATGGGGAGTGTTATGAAAATGAACACATAACGCCATTCCCAGCAACAAACCAGAGTATACCTAACAGCCATCGGGAGGTGGAGAACCCCAATTATCCCTGGGGCCCCCACCTCTGCCAGCCACTCTGTGTCTCCACCGGTCAGGATTCCTGATGTCAGATTTCGTGTCCTAATCGATGCACACACTTTGGCGAGTACTATGGTGTGGATGATGTTTGGTCCCCAGAGTTTCATGATTTGGAATTTAATATTGGTAGGTGGTGAGGGCTCATGGGTAATGATTGGATCTTACTGATTGCATCGTGGAGAAAACAGTCTTGTAACTAGATTAATGATGTCTTGAGAGACTAGTGAGTTCTAGCTCTCGTGAGAAGGGGAGAGTTCTCACGAGAGCTGGCTGTTATAAAAGAAAGCTGTCAAATGCCCTCACCAGTCTCTGTGCTTCTGCCGGCCATGCGTACAGCTCCAGGTCTTTGGACTTCCCAGCCACCAGAACCACAAGTTTGTAAGTCAGCCTCTCTTTTTATAAAAATCACCCAGGCTCAGGTATTTCTGTTAATAATGTAAGTGAGACAATTAGGTTTAGCCTTTTTCCCCAAGAAGTTATTACTCATTGGTGTGCCTTTCTATAAATGGCATCTGTGAATCAAGAAAATATATTATCACATCTATGTGCATTTATTTTATTTGTCCTATTTGAGGATGGGAGCCATCACTTGAATTTTCTTGAATTTTCTCAACACCCCATGCTGAGTCTCACACACTCGCGTAAATAGCTGTCGAGCACGTCATCGATTATCAAAAGTGAACCCAGCTGTCCTGTACTGAGTAGAGTAAAAGATTCCCCACCCCACCCAACCCCCATGCAGGGCATGGGGTTGGGATGAGACAGAGAAGGACAGGGCAGGGTGTATAAGTGGTCTTAAAAAAAAAAAAGGAAAATGCATATTGTGAAAAAAAATATGCATCGGTTTTTTTTTTTTTTTTTGGAGAGGGTTTTTTTTTTTTTCGACACAGATGC